ATTTTTTCTACATGACAAAAATCTATACAAAATTATTCAATACATCATAAACATTCCATCAAAAAAACAAAAAACAACTGTCCTTCCAGGGATCCGAAACAACCAGTCCCGGAAATTGCCGTTCCCAAAATGAGGAAAAATTCATCTAACAATTGTCCCTTCCCTATATCAGGAACAAACTGTTCGAAAATCGTCTTCCTCTTCATAAAAAAACAATCTTAGCATAAAATCTCCTTTCCCTAGACCAGGAACAATTCGCCATAAATTATAGATCAGGAACATCTCCAAAAATCACCTTTTAATCAGAAGCAATCTATCCAAAATTCGTTTTTCTTTCGAATCGGGCAAAATCTGTTAAAAATGTTTACTCTACATTTGAAAACTCCATCTAAAATTCATGTTCCTATACATCAGAAACAATCCCTACAAAATTCATCTTTACCCGAATCATAAGCAATTCATCAATGTTTTTCACTAGATTTGAAAAATATGTCTGCCTTTATATGACAAACATCCGTTCCAAAATAGCTCTATTAGAAGTTAAGAACAATTATTCAAAAAATCTTTATCCGCTGGATCTAAAAAAAAAATACGTCCAAAACTCGTCTTACCTTAAATCATTAACATTCTGTCTAAAGATACGTTTTCCATTTTGAACACACTGATAAGAAATGCTAACATATATTTTTTATTTAGCAGCAATTATAAGACACCCAATTTCAGTTCCTAACATTTCAAGTATGTGTACGTTGTGTATATGTGATCATTTTTAGTCACCCTTAAAAAAAACTTTTGAAAAATCCAGAAATTAAACTGTCTTCTTTTGAGGTACTGTTTAATCATAAAACTGCTGATGAGATCCATGCACCCCTTAGGTAGGATTATTGCAATCCTCTACAATGAGCTTGCTAAATTAGAAAAAACAACAATTGATAACTTAAAAATATAAAGATTTAAACAACCTCATCAGCCTTTAATTTTTGGAATAATATAAATGAGAAATGTTATCAGTAACTAGTGGTGTTGATTTCAATGTTGATGGTATTTTATTTACATTTTTGTTATCTTGTATGTTATTAGGGACCCTGTAACCAATAAAATAATGTACTCGCAAGGTTGGGAGTTTATAATGCACAATTTTGGGTTATTTCCCTGCTATATGCACATTGCAGGTAAATCACTGTGTAGTTTTGTGTTGAACAACAAAACAAGCAATTTGGTGCATAAATAGTTTAAAAAAATTATCAAAAATCGTGTGATTGCAAGTTTACGCACCAATGATTCCTATGTAATACGCCTTTGAGAGAAATGACCCAAATTCTGCAAAGCAAAAGATTAGTTTTGTGTGATTAGGAAAGATGTTTACAGTTGAGATAATGCTAGGTTTATGGATTTTTTTATGCTGGTATTGACTTTTGCAAAGAGTGTGCAAGCTGTTAGAAACCAATTAACTGAAATTTACAAAGCCGTAATTGCTACAGGAGGGCTACACCCAGAATGAGGTGACCCAGGTCATAGGGATATCACAATCTGTGATCAGTAGATTGTGAAGCAGACACCAGGCCAGGGTCGCAGAAGGGTTACAGGTGCAGTAGACGACCAATAAATGCAGAATTTAGCCCTGAAAAACCACAACAGCAGCACTAGAGGCCACAGAAACGTGTTTCATCAAGCCAATGGAGTGTGTGTATCATGTCAATGGTCAGGAACAGGCTTCATGAGGCTGGGTTTAAGCCAAAGATACCAGTTAGAGACCCCGTACTAATTCAAAAGCACCAAACAGCCCAACTGGCATTTACCCAGTGTTACGTACTAGAATTTCAAATAGCCTGAAATTGAGTCAGCTGATAAATTTAAATTTAGTAATTAAGTAAAAGCCGATATATAGTCAGTTTATGATATTTGCCAGCAAGATTGATACACCGTTTTCTTTTTAACACAAATACGTTTTAATATACACACAACAATACAATTTACAATAACAGTTATTACAAACAATGATTTATAAACAAAAGTTTCACAAACTTACAAGTAATATAAAGTATTCTTTCTAGTCTGGAACTTCCTCGATATCTTATCGAGGGTTCATGATGGGCTAGTTAATTACGAGTTGATGTAGGTACGATTCACATTACGGGAAGTTAGCTAGCTTTGTCCTTCGTTATTCACACGACGAGTTTTCCACGATGAATTTATATAATGTTTTCGTAAAAATACTAACATCCGATGAGAATCCGCTGAAGTTAAACGATTTGTAATTTTTGCAGTTTGTAAATGTTCCTGGTCAAATATCTGAAGTTTCCGATTGTAACAATAACAGTTATAGCTTCCAAAGTTTATAGCACACTGACCATAGCAAACTAATAATAGATACTCTCTTTCAGCACAGCACGTTGGTTATACTTATAGGTGTGTAGAGGCTTTCTAGAAAATTCAGATTACGTAACATACAAATTTAAGCATTTAGGTACGTACATATATTGTTGATTCTTACTCTCAAGAATCTTCTACAACTTTGAAGAATAGGCGGGAGTTTCGCAATACATATTCAACACTATAAGCTATGCATGTTTCTAAATATAAATTTAATCTAAACAAACGTTGATATTAAAACATATATATAATAACAAATTCATTACAACAGAAACACCGACCTTTCAGAAATGGACCCCTGTACTGTACACAGATGAGAGCAGGTTTTGTGTATCCAAGCAATTAACGCGTTAGGGTCTGGAGCCATGAAGAAGGGTAATATTCGGCCTATAATGTCCACCTTGAGGCTTGTGGGAGAGGCTCAATAATTGTAGGTGGCATCTGCATGTAGTACCATACAGACCTCTTATGTGGTGGATGAGCTCCTGCTACCCGATGTTCACCCTTCTGCTGGTTCTGTCAGAGTTATTCGTGTATCAGCAGGATAACGCCCATCCTCAAAATGCCAAGATCATGTAGCAATTTTTCCAGAATAAAAGAACAGAGGTAATGGACTGGTCTGTTAAGTCACCAGACCTGAATCTGATTGAGCATATGTGTAACTTGGTGAGGAGAAGAATTAGGAACTGTCTAGGAGCTTCAAAGGTACCTTCATCCAGGAGCAGACTGTGCTGTCCCAGCAAGTCATTAGCAATATGTGGAACAGGTGCATAGAAGTCACAAACAATAGAGGAGCTACTAAACTCATTTTTCTAAATTTGTTCATCTTACTACTTTTTCTTTGCTGTTTTTGTAGCTAAATATTAGCATTTTCTGTAAATTTTGATTTTTTATTTATAAATGACTTTTTTGACTTACTGCTTCATATTGTTTATGTATCATATTTGTAATAAAGAAGTTTTGTCAATATTGAACGTCTGTTTTTCTTTCAAGTTTTGAAAAAACAAAACATTAAAATCTCATTATTGTTTAATTTTTTTGGGTGGTGTATTTCATATATATAATGCAAAACTACAAATTTACTCAATATAATACACAGTACACAAATTCCACTTATGTAAATATTAATTCACGTTGTGTGTTTGTGAATTTTTTTGTCAAAGAACTTCTCCCACAATTTTGGAGTCAGTAGAAACAAACCGGCAGGCTCAGCTCAGGGTGGTCTTGGAGTATCCTTATCTATATGGTGTGGTCCCCAACTATGGGGGACTCAAATGTTCCTGGAAAGTAACCTTCAAACAATGGAGGTTAGTGTAGTTAGTGTAGGTTAGTCACTAAATCCAAATTTGACACTGGATTTTCTGTTCCTGGCAATCTTAGGCTCTCGGGAATGCCATGTACATAAGTGTGTTCATACCCCTATACATAAGCTAACAAGACCAAATATGGCACACAGCAGGTATCATAATTAGAATTGTGTCTGGTACTGAACTTCCCCACCTGAGATAACTATAGAAATATGGTGTAGTCCCCATGAAGAGGTACCAAGTGAGGCTAAAATGCACCCAGAAGGTTACCCACTAAGATGGGGTCTAGGAACAGGTTTTCAGGATCACTAACACCAAAACTGAAATTGGATTTTTTGTTCTCGCATAAGTATGTTGAGAATAGAGAGAGTTAATACCAAGTAAAATACAGAACAGGATAAGTTTTATTTGTAGTGAACACATACATACAACTTAATGTTGCCATTCCCCGGAAGGCATTTTTATCCAAGCAATGTCTAAAAATCTATCAGTATTTGCTGATATCTTTAATACTATGTAAGCTACTTCTCTTGAGCTATATGCATACTGAAGTTTAAAATGTCTTCATTACAGGAACTGCAAGGTTATTAGAAATACCAGTATACAGAATCCAATGTTCAACCTAATTTATAAAACACAGTATCAAGAGTTGCCTTAACTCTGGCTACAAAGAGTTTTAATATGTTCAGTGTTTCCAAAGTATCTTCTGCAACATGACTAAGCTGCCTCATACAAGTAACACCAGTGAGAACAATACTTTTGTTTAGTAAAGTTACAATACTTATTCTTTATTGTTCTAACAATTCTACTATCATTATTCACAGCAGGTTTCCTTTAGTTAAGTTAGAATACCCAATATTGTTTTTTCTAACAATTATACTAAACAGTGTACATAACTTAGAAAATTGTTTCACTTGGTCCCAACTAAATATTCACCTACTTTCTATCGAGATTCAACTGTCACGGTTCATTACAGCCATACATTCTGTCTTTGTGGTACTTTTCCTACTTATTTATTAAGACCAAAGTAACCTGCAAGAGTTGGAAAGACCCCTGGTGGCAATGTTAGTCTTATGTAATCCCTTAACACAGAAGCAAAGATGTTTCTTAGTCTCATTTTCACACCTTAACAGTAAAAACTCACTGCTGCTGTTTCTGTTAAGCTTTATTTCTACCTGTGATGAAACATTCTAGAAAGTATTAGCTCACTTGGCTCCATTGAAAACCTTATCTTCAATCTTGGTTTTACTTGCATTTTGAACTAAACATATAATACATATGTTACCAATATAAGAAATTTTTGAAAGACATTAACTTGGTTACTTATGAACCATCATTTTCTATTTTTATGGCACAAAAGTAAAATCACTGAAACCTGCTACTTAGAGTAGATAATTTCTCATCATCCAAGAACTGTTACTGAATCTAATAATAATAAAAATACTTACTTAAACTGCTTTTCTTCTTGTAAACTATTATACAAGGCAACACTTAGTACAAGATGTTATATGATTGTTAAACATAAAAAATGCAAGTCTTTTGTTCACAGTCTGAAGAAAAAACTGCTCTTCACACTAAAACATAGTATTTTAAGCAATAAATGATACATGTTTAATGTATAACAAACAAGTTCCCACATTTTAATAAACTTCACAGTTCAAATAACATTATACAGACTTTAGTCTGATCCTAGAAAGACAAGCAACAGCATGGTACATAACCCTAGTACTTCCAGTTAAACTTCAGTTTCAACAAGTATTTGATATTCACCTGAGCAGTATCATACACAATGTATCTGGGAACAGTATAAGGAAAATACTGACATAAAGTATCACAAAATTATGTTTCTTTTACTCTCACTGCACACTACTGAACTTATAAACTATGATATTAAAGTAAGATACTAACTAATCAAGACACCTACCTACCTCCAAGAGTCAGAAAAGCAATCATGGCTTGATTTTAACAGTCGTCCAAGACAACTAAAATCTTCCTCGGATGACAAACTTAACCTCACCGTATTGTCCAACAGATGACTAGTGCCCTCGAACAGACCCTTACTCAAAACAGCAACTCAGTCTACTGTATACTTATCCATGCCCACACTACTCACATAATGTTGACTCTGATCCTCGACCAAAATCACTGGTAAATTATTTAACTATGAACTCGAAACTTTGAACCACCACAAAAATATCTTTTTGTCCACTTTTTTTTTTTGAAAAAATATAGTATTTTGTACAAGAGAAATGTTGGTACAATCCACCAAAAACAGGCTGAAAAGTTAGGAAAAGCTCACTTTTGTGATTGGCTAATAATGCTATTTTAGTCATTAAACTTACAGATTGTGGGTAAGCTGCACCTCTGTGCTGCTTTATGCATGTAAACTTTGTATGGAGTTCAACTGAGCATGAATAGCTATGTGTGGTAACACAGTACAGTGTATACAGCTCAGTTAGTTACACTACCACACATTGTATTGTGCAATATTTGTATGCAAATATATGGGCGAGTGGGAATTTGCAAGAACAACGAATGCCAACAACATGAAAATTTAGAAACTAATTTCTAGAATAGATGCTTATGACAATAAAACTAACATGGGTGTCTCAACTTCTTATCAATAATCCTTTGGTGGGAACTGAAATGATCAAATTTACAAAATCAAACTCAGAATTTGCATTGTTAATTGTCACAGTTAAAACACTAATGATCTCTTTTCAATTACACATGTATAGGCCTAAGGCTAATGTTAGACAGCCATGAACAATTGAGTCTAGGAAATACAGAAGGCCTAGCTACCACGAGAAGAGAGGAAAAATCCACAAATTAAACAGAGCATAATAATACTAACTGCAAACAAAATTTTATGAAAGTTTTGATCAGTACAAAGCAAAATAAAAATAAATGAAATAAGGCTAGCTTTGCCTCTCTCCAGGTCAATACAAACTACGAGTATGAATGACAATACCCATCAGTGGGGTGTGTGTGTGCATATTACGGTATAGTAGTACGTTTGAGAGTTCTGATGCAAGTTTAGTCTTACTACAGGCTGTACTTTACTGTACTTGGCAGGCAGACCAAGCTGGTTAGAATGAAAACGTGATTGGACAAGATCGCTGTTCTGTTTAAAAGTTTTCCAGGTCATTGACTGTTTGTTCCCTTAGGATATTATGTAACATTAGCATGGTTTGGGCCAATTTTTTCCACTGTAACAAAACTTCCCAGGAAATAAGCCATCAAAAATTAGTTGAATAAATATGCAAAATTGGCAACTAAACATTAATTGTAATTTTTGGAAATAAGTAAAATATAAAAACGTCAAAATTCTTGTAATAGGGTATTGGTACATTAATATTGTCAAAACTGGATCTTTTTTGAAGGTTATGTATTTTGTTTTTAACAATCAATACAGCCTTCTAGACAACTTGGAAATTTCCTTAAAATAGAGCCTGGCAATTGTATCGAAACTCGCAATATGCTACCAGTTCTTCATTTTAATAAATACAAGGAGAGCTATAAATTGCTCTCCTCAGAACAAAAAACAAAAATCACAAGGAGTTAAAAAACTGAAATTCAAAAACATGTATATACTGTGACTGTTCAGGAACTGTATATTTTGTGCTGCATATCTAATTTAAAAAAATCATTTACAAGTCATTTAACAAATTTGGAGTTTTGTATTTTGTCACAATGATATGCATACACAAACCTTAATCTAAAGTTTGGTGGTATACAAGTTAAGTTCTTAATTTTATAAAGCAATATTAAAAAGTATGAAATTTAATATAAGTTACTCATTATCATTTTCTCATTTTTCAGGCAAAGCATAATTTTCATAGCCTTTAATTTTATTTGGTTACAGAGCAATAAAATAGAAAATTAGACCCCTCTTCCCATGCCCACTTGTTACATCCTCTCTTTCAGAAATTTCTAATAGTTCTCTCTGACGTTCAATACTATATTATTTATAACTGATAAAAAGCCAAGGTTTTCTTCTAGCAAATGATTATTATATTACATTGTTTTCTGTACAGAGAACTGTCAATACTGATTTCAGTACAAGCTTGATTCCCTCAGGAAACACATTGACTAGCTTAGACAAATTTGTAAAGGCTCTTGTTGCAGTTAGTAAACCAGAAAAACTGAGATAGTTATGGGACATTGTATGCTTTTTGCATGTTATTCTTCTGTGTTCTTTGGTGCATTATTTAATCAAATACAAAATAATTTAATGCAGTACTACCAATAGTATGAAAAGTAAGGTTAATTGTAAAAAAAAAAAAAAGAAAGAAGAAGAAGAGAGAGAAGAAGGCCCAGATAAGTGCTTTATTTCTTGTTTTTCATGTGTATTCTTTATTTATCATTATAAAAGTAACTAAAAATAAAATGTTAAAATAGGATTCACACACACACACACACATTGTCAAATCACATCAGCTTGAAAGCAAGTTTGCTGCATGATCATAGTGAATGAAATCCTCATATTTGCTGTGCTGGTTATGGTATTTTAAAGTCTAAAAAAATCCATTCTTGGAATTTTAAGGAGCATTATTACTTACACTCCTCGGACAAACTTAAGAAGCATGAAGGAGTGCAATTACGCTCCTTAAAAATGAACCTCCGAATGCTTTGCTGTTAAATTACTAACAAGGACTACAGGGGCATCAACAGTGAAGAACAATCCTTTACTATAAATTATATTTTCTGTACAGTTTAACACACAATATATTAGCATTGAAATAGCTACTTTTGTATAAAGGTTTTTATTAATTTCTGCTTACACTTTATTATCATCATCATGCACAATACATTGGAAATACAAAGATCATGAAGCAATGAAAAAGTTTACTTTCAGTTTGTAAGAAAAGATTTTTTCTAGCTCCAATACAATCATACTATAGTGAAAAGTTCTAAAAACCTCATCGAGAATTAAGTATGTGTAAATGCAGTTTATTTGGCTTTTTTAAATTTAGCCTTCAAACATATATGCCATACAACCTATTTGTGATAAAGATGTTCTAATTACCAGTGTTGCTTAACACTGAATGTTTCTTTTAAAGCTGGCAGAAAATGCATTTCAATGACTATTCAAACTCACTATAATTTATGATAAAACAAAGTGAAGCTAGTACTATATGGCTACTTATTAACTTATGTGGTAAACTCTAAAAGCTCTTGTAACACTGCAAAGCAACAACATGTAATACCATGTGGTAAACTACTACAAATTATATTTAAAACTGTTATTATTATTACTATATTCCCTAAATTTTTCAATGAAACACTCAAGAGAGAACTGATTGAAAGTATGATAAAAAAAAACTTTTCCAATAAAGGATACTCATTGTACAATAAAGATGTGTTGGGAACAGCAGCAGAAACAGGTTTTCCTAGAGGGACTTCGGTGCCATCTGGTGTGGTAATCAGAGCTTGAGGATCTGGCTCAGTTCGTCCAAGACCTATTAACACCATGTTAAGATTAGTTCAGTGATGAGTTCTGATAATGAATGTATCACCTACAAAAGTAGTATGAAACTCCTTAAAAGTTATATTACTTTTATTTCTTGTTCTTAAGAATTTGAAAATATTCACCTTTAGTACTGTGTTTATTCTGAGGAAGTTTTTTAATCATTTCGGCTTGAGTTTTTTCATACCTGGAACAAAAGTAAATAAACATGTGAACATATATATATATATATATATATATACATGAAGAATTATTCATTGTAGGCTAACAGGCTTTTATCACTAACTACTAAGGAGAGTCTCTGACAGGTAAATAAAAATGCAATAATCTATATTATATACTAAACTGAATTCCACTAAAAAGAAACCTACATGTAAGAATGTTAAGTAATTATAATTTATTCAACTTGTTGAAATGAAATAATGTAAATAAGTAGCTTAAGACATCGTGACAATGTCTCAAGCTACTTATTTACACTATTTCATTTCAACAAGAAAAACTTGTGCTAATAACTCAGTATCGAATACAAATTATACACACACACACACACACAGCACATATATACTAGCTGAATGTTCATCTTATATGATGGTAAACACTTATTTATTTTGCTTTGGATAATTTGTTGTACATAATTATTTCATTGACATATTTTTTAAAAATAAATTACATTATCAAAAGAATATATGAAAAATGGTTTATACTTCTTTATTGTTTATACTTCTATAAGATTACATATAATTAAAAATGTTATATTCATTTATCAAAAACAATAGTGGGAAGACCTCTATAACATGTGAAGATAACAAATTGAGAAGTTAACCTCAAATGCAAGTTAGTTATTGAAATTTGTCATATTCTAATTGTGTATATTTGTATGAGAGTCTTCTAATTATGCATGTGTGTATGTTCACGTAAGAACATACCATCAATTTAAAAAATAAAAGAACATTGCTTAGATGTAGACATTTGCAAACAGATTTTTTTTCTCTTATATCATGAAAGAATAGACTAGGCTTCTACAACACAGATCAAAATTTCAATTTTACCTCTGGTGAAATGAAATATGTAATATTATAAATGTAACAACCCACAAATACTAGTAGCACAAATTTTAATTCAGTTGTGTAGAATACCTAAGTTGAAGAAGAAATGAGGCTTTTTTAGGCCTAGCGAAAGGTCTCAGACTAAACCATGTTAAGGCTTACTTAATAATGTTTTATAGTTTAAAAGACCCGGAAAATACATTAATTTAAAATTTGAGATCATTTTATCACTCATCAGTCTTAGTAAACAAACATCATAGCAAATGGCTGAACCGGCATTTTACACCTCGATACAGTTTTATTTTATTTCCTCCAGTTTAAAAAAATTATTTGAATTCTCTTATGCTATGGATTCATTAGATTATTTGAGCATCAAATTCTTGTATTTTGATATTATGTTCAAATGTGCTTCTTGATAAAGCTGTATAAAGTTAACCATGTAAAAAAACACTAGTCATTTGTCTGATCCTGCAATTTATTAATTGTGATGGCAGAGAATTGGAGCTTCGAGGACAAGTCCAAAAAAGGTAACACATTTCATCACAAATGTTAATAAAATGTTTTATTGAATAAAAAAACTTAAATGAAAGTGAAAAACAGTAGGATAACATATTGTTGCATCATCTATCGTTTTTTAACGTTGTGTTTCCCATAAGACATACTGGTGTTTATATATATATATATATATATATATATATATATATATATATATATATATATACTACTACGTAACGTAACGTAACT